GAGAGAGAGAGAGAGAGAGAGAGAGAGAGAGAGAGAGAGAGAGAGAGGGAGAGAGAGAGAGACTCTTCTCTCCGCTCATGTGAGTGACAATAACCTTCATATTATAAGAGCAAAATGAATGAGTTGCTGAGCATTAGCGTCATGGTATGAGAGCACCATGAGTGGCCCAGCTGCTGCTGAGGACTTTGTGTCGTTTGGTCTCAGAGGAGAAGAAGAACCGGATTAAAGGAAGTCTAACGGAGGCTGCTGGTGTCATTCAGCGTTGTGAGCTAATCTAGGTCTAGTTTACATCGATCACAATCATTTTAGATGAAGTGTTATAGTTATTAATTCATCTTTGGGTCATTGATTCTTTTGTTTTGTTGCTTGTTTTTACAGACTGTTGAACCCAGTTTGATTTTGACTTTTGTTCCAGTTAATAAAAATGTTAATCACATAAACCTGTCTGGCTCTACATGTCTCAAAGTAATAGTCCAAATCAGCCAGCTGTTGCAAACATTTATTTTAATGTTCGTCACTGATATTGTGTCTTTTAAACAACATTTAGCTTGGTGGGTTATTGCGGTCTTGTAATGACACCAGCATCATCCTTTCAAAGAGCAACCAAATCCAACTTATTTGAATTATTACCTGATTTGAGAATCACATTTTGACCGAGTGAATAAAATCCTCTGAGACTAAAGAAGCACAGGAGCTGTCGCGCAATCAGCAATTAAAAATCTCATCAGTGTGGGTCACTGAGTCAGCAAAGGAAGCAGGTCATGGATTTGAGATTATTGGCTGCAGAAGAAGTGTACAAGCACATTAATGGAGAACCATTAATCAGGTAGTTAACTGCAGCAGCCGAGGCATGAAGGTGCGGGGAGAGAAAGTCTAACATGTCGTCCCTTCAGGTCCGTGTGGCTGCTTCAGCGAGGAGCCGTTTGTCCCCGAAAAACGTCCTCTACTGGATGCTATGGTAACTACAGAACACTGATTGGATGGGATGGAGGTATGGTCGGGTGTTTTCACCCTGTGGGGAGAATAAGTCATTACATCCACACACACACACGCTCCTCCTCGGCATCACTTACCTTTCGGTCCGGGTAAACCCGGTTGCCCCGGCAGCCCATAAATACCGGGGTCTCCAGGCTCTCCGCGAAAGCCGGGCGTGCCGGCGTAGCCGATACCGGGCTCGCCGGGGCCGCCGGGACGACCCTTTGTCCCAGGGAACCCTGGGAAACCTTTCTCTCCAATTGTGCCGTAGCCGCCGTCACCCTGCAGAGGAAAAGCAAAGAAGAAGGTTGTTTTAAAATCTTTATTTGTTTACCTTCTTTTAAGAACTTGCTCAAATCTTATATATTGATGTGAATACTGTGTGTTGAAGCACTCACCGGGGGTCCGGGGGATCCGGGGAAGCCAGGCACTCCGTCTCTGCCGGGTGTTCCAGTTTCACCATTAGGTCCTCTGGGTCCAGTGTCGCCGAGCTCTCCTTTCACCCCGAAACCCTGGTTGGGGTAGTAAGACGTCCCCTTCTCTCCCTTACGACCAAAGTAGCCGCTGTCACCAGAACGACCCTGCAGGAGGATGGAAATGATGGACGCTCGTGGGACTTGGCTTTACAACAAATAATGTGTGGATGCAAAGTGGGACGGAAGCTGTCAACAAAAGAAAAATACTAAAAATACAAACTTACAGGAGGTCCCTGGATGCCATTGAAGCCAGGTGAGCCGCCGTCACCATGCTCCCCCTTTCGTCCAGCGAAGCCGGGGTTGCCGTTGACTCCTGGGGCTCCAGCTAACCCGGGATACCCCGAGGTGCCTCCTCCGAAGCATTTACAGTCACCGGGATCACCTGGAGGACGAGGGAAACGGGACAACGAGGTTGTGAAGTGGCTTGAAACGGCTAATTCACACTGGCAGGAAATGTCCCCGAACATTTCAGGGACGGACTGTGAAAGGGACTTAAATGCAAGACGTGTTTCTTCAGGGATTGGTCAAAGAAGAGCAGCGATGCTTACCTCTGTAGCCATCCTGTCCTCTTTCACCCGGCTCTCCTCTGGAACCAGGAGGTCCAGGCTCTCCAGGGAGAGTATTGGGGGCACCACCTGCAAGAACACACACACACACACACACACACACACACACACACACACACACAATTAGAGGTTAAAATGGTAAATAAGCCACAAAGTATAGTCACAAACAAACATACACACGACATTGTTTTTAGATTTCACACTGTTTGAACTTGAGCTGCACTGCACTGACTGATATAAGATGTGAAAATAATGATATCTTATTATTACTTACTTATTTTTATATGCACTTAAACATTGAATGTGTTAGATTGAAACCAGCACAGTGCGAGTGCAGCTCGGTGTCAGTGTGGAATCAGGATTAGTCTCTTTGGTCAGCGAGTAAAATGAAAGAGTTCAGCAGCTGTTGCAAGACGACAGATGCTTACGTAAAAAAAATAAATAAATAAAAAGCATTAACTTGTTTATATCGTACTAAAATATAAAACAGCATTGTACTTGAACATATTCAGTGATTTCACATCGACTATAATGGCCGTGAAGAGCTACTTGCCACAAGCAGCATGCATAGTGTGTTGCAGTTTAGCACCGACACAAACAAAGGAGACAAACTGCCAACAAATAAACATTTGTGATATTATCTGAGAGTGGAAGTTCACTCTGGAGTTTTGTGGTGAAGAGAATCTGAGGTCGAGGACGGAGGTAATAACCCTGTCTAGGTTCAAGGATGACGAATCATTGGTGCGTAAACCTTTGAGCTGAGACTCTCTCACCACCAAATACATGTAGTTATAGTTTATCAAGTGATTAAAGGAGTCTGTATGAGCTACTGATCCATGTTCAGTGTTTTAACTACAGTAGACAGGAGTACCAGCACGGAGCAAAGCTATGACCTGCTGTGGACGTATTTTAGACACCTAAAACAATCACTGTCAGTCTAATTGTACGCTATATTTAGAATATGTTCAACGCTTTATCGAAGCTGTTATCTACGCCACCAGACTCCGCTGACAAAAACCTCGCAGAACGTGGTCGCAGGTCTACCGCTGCCTCAATCGGTTAGTTTGTTTGTGTTGTTGAGTGACTTTTGTGAATCCAAACTTACCATTTAAAACACAAAAAGTCAAACAACTACACAAACAAACTAAGCGATCGAGACACCTGTAACCCCGTGTTCTGCGAGGTTTTGTCAATGGAGTCCGGTGGCTTTGACGAGAGCGTAGATGAATATAATAGCTTCAGTTCTAAGCGGTGAGAATACTATAAATATAGCGTACACTTAAACCGATTTTCTTTTGGTGTCTTTTTGTTTCTCCAAACTCCATCTACTGTAGGATGCACTGACTTCCAAACATCCACACTGTCCCTTTAGACTATGTCCTAGAGATGAAATGTTCCCAACAAACAGCTCATCATTCTTATTGCTCTCATTTTCTTTCTGTTTGTGTCCCTCATTTTTTTTTTTGTCTTCCTTCGTTTGACCCGTTTGTGCCGATAAAATAAAATCCCTGTTTGCAAACAACGCTGCCGCCATGCATCGATGTCCATGTAAAATCAGTGAATTGCGCGGCAGCAGGGCGACACCTTCTGGCCAAAGAGGAGAAAAGCAGCTTGGAGAAGAGAGGCCCTCCCATCCAAGTCTGAAGAATGGCCTTCACTCTTCTCAACTATACTTACCACCGCACCCTCCACAGAGTATAGCGTTAAATAAAAAAAAAGCTTTTTGGCAGTTAGATACTGCCGGCTGAAAGTTGTGTTTTGTTTGTTTTGACTTTTCCCTTTGGCGGGCTGAATATTGCCATGGTGGTGATGGCAATATGGCCGCGTTTAGGATACCTGCCTTTGGGCCCGGACCACTCAGGATAGATGATGCAGGGTTCAACGGCAAAGCCTTGGAGGACAGTTAAATCAGTCAGCCATGATGCTTTAAAGTCTCTTTCTATCTTGTCTTATACTTTAAGAGGTAAACTGGCTTTTATGGCTGGTAAAAAAACAAATTGAATTATTTTAGCTCCTTTCATGTGAGGAATCCACCTCACAGTGCTTTGTCACAGTCAAATAAACAGCAGACAACATAAACAGGATGTAAAATAAAAAAGGGAAGTTTAAAATAGTTGATTTCATTGTGATTGGGAGTCTTCTCATCTCTCAAACAAGCCAATCCTTATCACGACCACCTGTGGAGGGAGAGCTTTGATTAGTCGTTTGTGAACGTACTCGTAGGGCCCTGAGGTCCAGTAGTGCCGGGGGGTCCGGGGGGTCCAGGGTTGCCGGGGCTTCCTTCGGAGCCGTAGCCTGGTAAGCCTGGGTTACCTTTCTCTCCCTTTGGGCCGGAGGTCCCGGGAAAACCTGGGGATCCGGAACCACCTGCACGTGAGGACAGATTTGGGTTAATTTGAGCTATATTTTATAAAAATAAACCCATTGCATCTCTGCGTAGAAGAGCCTACCTGTGCCATAACCACCAACTCCTGGTTGGCCTGGTGGTCCTGCGTATCCTGGGAATCCCTGGTCACCGGGGGCTCCGGGCAGGCCATGGAGACCCGGGTCACCTGTTAGTCCTACAGCCAATCAGAGAAGAGACGCTCAACACGGGACACTTGCACATATTAAACAATAACTCACAGTAAACCTGTGGTTGATCTATTAAACTATTAGTTTAGGTTTGTGTGTTACCTTGAACAGCAGTGCCCTCACCACTAACGTAAGCAGGAGGTCCTGGTGCTCCGGGGTCTCCCTGGTCTCCCTGTTAGACAAGTTCAGGACAAAATACCACATAAGCGGGATAAAAAAATATTTAGAGATACTAAGTCATTATTTTGAGATACTATGACATTATTATGAGATACTATGACATTATTATGAGATAATAAGTCATTATTTAGAGATAATACGTCATTATTTAGAGATAATAAGTCATAATAAGTCGTTATTATGAGATAATAAGTCATTATTTTGAGATAATAATTCATTATTGTGAGATAATAAGTCATTATTGTGAGATAATAAGTCATTATTATGAGATAATGTCATTTAGAGATAATAATATATCTCTTTATCACAAAGCTAAGTTTTCAGTTTTTTTTCTTCTCCTGATAGCTGACTGCTTCCCCAAATTAAAGTAGCCAAGGCAAAAATGAATTTAAGAAACGCTGACGCCATCTGCTGGTGAGAAAAAGGTATCGCAATGCTGTTGTCCCAAATCCATCAAACAAACGGTGTTTATTCTGAGCAGGTGTTCAGTAAGAAACACACACTCGTGTTACCTTTGCTCCTGTGTATCCTGAGGGCCCCGAGAAACCTGCAGTACCTCTGAATCCCTGTCAGGACAAAAAGAAAGAGGTTTACATCATTTTACTGTCGTTGTTTATTTGATTTTAAGTTGATTTTAAGTTTGACTTGTTGTCTTGTTGACTTGTTGACATTGTACTGTTATTCGTTATTTAATGGCAATGTGTGTGTGTGTGTGTGTGTGTGTGTGTGTGTGTGTGTGTATAAAAATATAAAATATTACAAAATCTGGTTTAAATGTACTGGATGATGGTGTTTAATCTGCACTACATGTTGAATGTGTCCTGATACAGGACATAAAGGCTTTCTCCTCCTCCACCTCACCCATTATTTCATCGTTCAGGACACCAACAGATGTACATTTAGTGAGGTACTGTAGTTCAGAACAATTTTGAGGTACTTTCCCATATTCAGAGACTTTCTGCTTCTACTTGTCTCTAGTGAGTAACCCAGAAATACATGAGCTTCCTCTGTGATGCATCTGGTCCTGTAGAAATTGTGTGATGATGAAGTGTCCTGTTACACGATGTGCACGATGTGCAGTGACACCTGTTAGCCAATCAGAAATGAGTATTTTCTGTGTCTAATGTAAAAGTATAACGGCTCATAATATTGAGGTCTCAGCGTTTGAATATTTCAAGGGATCAGTTAACAGAAGCCCACCTGTTGTCCTGGAGGTCCGGGAGGCCCGTTAAAACCAGGAGGACCCTGTTTGGTGGAATCAAAGACGACATCCACCACAGAAGAAGAGGGAAAGGCAAGGTGCATATTTGATAACAGACCTCACCACGCAAGAATAACTAAGGACTCTCCAGTTGTGCAGAGGGATTACACAACAAAATGCACACAATTCTACTTCTAATGTGGTGTCACACAGTCAGCTGTTAGCTCTTACTCTGGCACCGGGGTATCCAGGAATGCCCTTCTCTCCAAGTTCACCACGATAGCCGAAAGGTCCCTGGAATTTAGTAAAAAGAATATGATATATAACATATTATAGGGGGAATATATTGATCTCTCAGCTGTTTCAACAACCTCTCTGATTCTTTCAAGAAGAGTTGTTGCATTCATTTTACAGAAATAGCATTAAAAATGGATGTTTCTGGGAGAAAAAACAACCACTTACAGGTCTGCCAGGACTGCCGGGGAACCCTCTGATCCCTTTTGGGCCAGGCGCACCCTTTGTGAGACAGACGGAGGGAGAACAAAGGTGAACATGAGAAGAGCGTCACTTTGCAGTAAATTAACTCTTAAAACATTCTTTGGATTTAAACTCACCTTTGTACGTCCGTGCAAACTGTAAAAGCCTCACTCAAAAGGCAACAGACAACAACCCGGCTAATCCCAGAGTTAACTCTTGATGGGAATATATTGTGGATCAAGTGGAATGTCTGAGGGATCCGGCGCTCTTCAAGCCCCAGAGAGGGAGCTGTGTGTTGGGCTTAGAACGCGGAGGGACCCAGGGACAACGACTCAGAGTATTTTTGTCTCGATGGTTTTGCAACAAAAGGGATTTCTAATGTTGACAGTAGTGACCTCCGTAGCCTCTCAATCTTTACGTCTACTTTTCACCAATACTGGATTTGATTCCCTGAAGGTTTTTGTCAACGTTGCATTGTCATTGTGTGATCTTAAGGATGCATGTTGGTGCATTCAAGGATGCTTTTGCATTGACACTTTGAGTGCTGGGAACAAAGAACATTAAACAATCATGTCATGAAAAGGATAAACAAAGAGCTTGTAGCAACACATTTAGATGTTGGAGTGTCTTTAAATGCAACAACAAAGACAGCGAGTGTGCTAACAGCTCCATTACATGATGCTGACTAAGAGTCATTTTTCTCTGCAAGTTAATTTGTATACTGTTTTGAACTGAGATGAATACTAATGGCTTTATTGGGAGTTATTGGGCAAAACCATACATGTTGTTCTACAAACGTATCTGGTATTTTTCTGACTTAATGACCAGGAGGAACTTGTAAAGTTTAGGTTGGACGTTGAAGGACACGTGTCTGTATTTGTCCATCTTTGACACAGCGCAGCTCTTAAAAACGTCGACTAGGAGAAGAGTTGCGTTTTCCAACAAACCTGCATTCCTTTGTCTCCTTTGGGAAAACCCACAAACTCCACAACGCCATTGATCATTGGCTGGCCGGGGTCACCGGGCAAGCCCACGTCGCCCTGGATAGCGTGACCAAGGGAAGAGAGAGCCATTTACGCTTATCACCATATCACCAGGGGGGCAGGTGGAGGCGGAGACGACGGGCAGAGATTTTGGGGCGTTTGGGGGAAGTCGAGGGGGAAAGGTGACTGTGGATGAAGCCACTGAAGGGGCTGCTGTGCACAGAGCGGGCGGAGGAGTGAGGAGATAGTGGGGGGATGATGTGAGGCTGGTCGGTACGAAGTTCATTGCTTTAGTTAAACCTTTACCACAATCCAAGTGTCTCTGGAGGCAGAAAGGGAGGGGCCTATAGTTTTGGTTTTAGCCACAAAATTTGATAGAAATGTTTTATTTTCATGTATTTCTGATGATGAAAGCCTTTATTTTGAAAGGTCAGAGGGTTATCTAAGAATCTGCATAAAGACTAGTTTGATTTTTTACCCCTTTGTATCTATAAATCTACATCACATGTTCCGACACCTGATTTAAAAATAAATGTACAACTTTAACTCAAAATGTTTAGATTATTTCTGCCTCCAGATTACGGCAGGAAGTGTTATAATACAAAGTGGCAGAAAAAAGATGCTACACTGACGCTCCGTTGCACCAACCTCGTCCACTTCTCCTCCTCCTCTTCCTCCTCCGTGGCCGTAAAGTTTGCTGCAATCACTGCTCCTCTTCCTCTTATATTTACCCTTTAGTTTCAAACATCAAACAGCCTGCTGCCTGTTTTGTTATTGACCGTCTTTCTAACACTATTTTGGTGAAACCCCACCACATCTGTGTATGTGTGTGTCCTCTGCTCCTAGCCTTCCCTTGCTGTGTTACCTTATCTCCTTTGTAGATAGTGAGAGTTTGTTCGCTTCTTAGCGACCCGTCGCCGGGAGTACCACTGGGTCCGGGAAGACCCACGTCGCCCTGGAGTCCGAAATACACACAACACACCGTTAGCCAATCAGGATATTATAGGAGATGGAGGTGGAGGAGAAACAGGAAGAGGAAGGAGGACATGATGGGAGGTGAGAGGAAAATAAATAGATGAGAGGAGGAGGACAAGAGCAGAAAGGAGCAGCAAAATATGAACAAAAAAACAGAGGAGAAAGAAAAAAAAAAGCAGATAGAAAGAGAGAAATATACTACATGGACAAAAGTATGTGGACAGCCAAAGCTGACTGTGACGCTGTGTGAAGTCTGATAAAATGTCTCAAGTGTCTGTAAACGCTTGAGAAGGAAAATACATCTGGTGATGTGGAGTTACAGAGAAGTGAGACATCTCTGCTGCAGGCTGGAGACACGAGGCTACGTCAGTTTCACACCTGAACCGCCGGGGTGCATTGTGGGTAATGTAGGCGCCACGTTTTGACAAGGAAGAAGAATGTGTGGAATAAAAAAAGACAATATCTCTTGTTCTGCTGCTTCTATTTTTCATCCTTTTTTGTGACATTTAAAAAAAATGTATTATCACTCTTTTTATTATTATTATTAATTTATTTTAAGCACTTTGTGACGTCTGCTCAGGAAGATGTAAACAAAAATACTTTGTTGTGAAATTACTTCAAACAAAAAGTGCCCAAAAAGCATATTTGTCCACACACTTTTGGCCACATAGATAGATAGATGGATAGATGGATGGATAGATGGATGGATGGATGGATGGATAGATGGATAGATGGATGGATGGATGGATAGATGGATGGATGGATAGATGAGAGAGGAAGAGTGAAAGAACAGGAGAAAAGAGAGCTCAGGGATACTTCATCTTGAGTTTCTTGGTGATCCATTTTAAGAATTGACAATTTGAATATCTCAGCAGACTCAACAGTGATCCCGGCTGTTTCCACATTCAGTTCAGCCCTGAACCTGTCTGAGTTGGTTTGGTTGAGCATACCGTGCCATGCAATGTGTGAGGAAGTGGACTTGTTAGTACTCTTGGTGTGATTGCTGTGAGTGAGATGGATGGGTGGATGGATGGATGTTGAGGAGTCAAAGAGCAGGCAAATGAACCGCAAATCCCAGAGTTCACCACCAGACGCCCAAAACGTGATTAAAAAAGGGGGGAGGGGAAATATAGTGCAACATGGGAAGTAGGAGCAAGTGATTCCAGCACCCAGGTACAGTCCACAGATCGTCCTCCAGAGTGACAGCTCAGACACTTCTGTGTTGAAGTTTATTATTTTATATTGAAGGCTTTGATTTAAGCAGAATTTTTCATATGAAATGCCAAAAAATGTAAGATTATTTAAAAATCTTTTTTTATTCAATTTGGGAGAAAAACTTCATCATGTAGAATCTCTGAACTGTCACACCCCAGTGAGGGAAACAAGTGTCTCAGCGGCAGCACGGATCATTTGAAAGAACAAAACCAGACAGAATCGAGTAGGTTCATGTGATCTTTTTATCATACAGGAGACGGATGCAACAAACAGTCTGGGTAGTCAGTCTGGGGATGGAGAGGAGGAGGAGGAGGAGGAGGGAGGGAGGGAGGGATGCAGGGATGGGTGGGGTTAAAGGAGGGCAGGATAGATGGAGGGTGAATTAATGTGTTGGACGGAAGAAGAGCAGGTTGTCAAGCCACCACCAGTCAGATTTTAACATGCATTAAACAATTCATTTCACAAACACACATAAATGCACACACACACACACACACACACACACACACACACACACACACACAC